CCGAGCCAATCTTCTGAGAGGAACCCCATCGAAAACCTCTGGGCCATACTTGACCGGCAAGTCAAGAAACAACCACAAAAACCAACTTCGAAAAGTGATCTACTCCAAGTTTTGAAGCAAGAGTGGGCGAAAATCCCACAATCTAAAATTGACGAGAAGATTTTCACGATGCTCTAAAGGATCAATGAACTCCACGAAGTGAAAGGAAGATCTACTAGATATTAGTTAAATTATAAATATATCAATTCATGTGAATATGACTGAAAAATTTAATTTTTACTGAAAAGGTGTTGTCTATTTACTTGTGACCACGTTGTGTACAGCTCACATTTCACTATCAACTTACATTACCCATGAGCTACATGCATGCATGCCTCGTGAAACACTTTTACTATATTATTATTATTACTTATTTTACCTAATCCAAATTTCACTCACCTAGAAAGATTCCTATTTTTACATTTTAGTTACTTTTATAATAATAAATAAAGAATACACATGAAAAACAATAAATAAAGTACTTACCTGGGTCTCCTTTTTTTTGCTGTCGACTGTCAATGACACTTAACCCTAAATTTTTGTATAATAATGGTAGTAATCCACCAAAGAATATTGAATAATAACATGCAAAAAACAGACAATGTCCCATAACTATCACAATTTATCTGGCTTTCTAACTATGCGACAAAAGCAGTTACAAATTCATCCAAGGTAGTCGATATGTTTCCCGCGAGAACACAGCTTGTACTAGAAGAGAAATTGACAATTCTCTGTTCAGAAAACAACACATCATTTGATAGATTAAAACCTTGGCTTTCTATTAGTTATAAATAATATAGTATTAAACATAAGAGAGAGAACTATTAACAAATCCTGAAATAGAGGATGTGACAGGTGGGTGTGACAACAGGGGGGTCTGATTTTCTATTTCATGGCTCTGTAACTGAACAAGATTGAAGGCTATAAAAATTATGGTTTGTCTGAGTGATAATGATTTTATAGTGAGTAGCTTATGTTAAATTTCATACTTATTGGAGAGGTGGTGAATGAAAGAGAAAAGAGGGGATGCCTAAAGAAAAAATGTCACATTTCTCACACTGGAAGAAATTCAGGATTCTTTTTAATATTGCTTTATAAAACTAAAGACTTATATACTACTAAAATATGGATTATATGCTATGATTTTATGCTATACTAATTGCTACTAATTTTGAATGTAAGTCACTAAAAACCTAATGAACATGCACAGTAAAAGATACCCATGCAGAAATTGTTAATGATATACAGTTTAAAGACAATGGTAAGTATTGCTATTAGAAAAAACATTATATATGGCAAGGTTATTGGTATAAGCAACATACAGCAGCATGCATTATCAATATCAAGGTGAGTGGTAATATTGGAAACACATACTATAAATGTATTAATTAGAGTTTACTATAGTCTATAGTTTAGAAGCCATAAACATATTTAAACAAATACAGACATTTTCAAATTATAATAAATAATTAAAAACAATGTTTTATATTTACAGAATAAAAATTTTATTGAAGCCATACAGCTTCGACTTTAAAATAGAAATATCACTCTACACATACGTTTCAACATGATCTACATCATCCTCAGGAGTAACTTACAAGACTATTTAATACTTCATTGTTATTTACATATTTCCTTAGTGTATTTGAAAAAAAAATAAAAATAATAATATATCTTGCCATATATCAATGTATTGACTTGCTGGTCCTTCATCTCTATTTAATACTTGTTTTTGTTGTTTTATATTTCATTATTTCTTTAATATTTAATGATATAAAATTTTGAGGCTGAGCTAAAACTAAAGTTTTTTCCCACAATATTGTATGTTGGGTAGTTTTTACATGTTCGGCTATAGCTGAAATTTCTATTTTATTATTTCTTATGTAACTTTTGTGTTCTTGCAAAATAAACATTACCACATTCACATTCTATCTTGTATATACTTGTTTTATCTGTTAATTTTATTTTGTCTTTGGCATTCCCTATCATATCTTTTATCTTATTTATTGGTTTGAAGATAATTTAAATTAAATTTGAAGATAATTTATAAATTAAAAAGTCTGATACTTTTTAAATACTTTATATAATTGACTTGTTAAACCTGGATCATAAGGTAAACTTACAATTTTTTTCTTCTCATAAACAGATTTTAAACGAGCA